GAAATTCATAGAAAAATTGATACGATATTTACAAACATAAGAAATGTGCACAAATGACATTTTTAGTACAATAAAGTATTACTTTTAGTACAGTTTTAAAGATAAATAATTTCATTTAAAATTTGGCTTAATTTAGTATTTTTATTCAAATAGAAATAATCAAAATCAATTTTAAAAATAGAAAACGAAAATAACTGTGAAATCTCCTCTAGCAATTCAAAATAAAGACGATGTGGAACAGGGATACACCTCGTATTACTATTCTAGAGAAATACCCATTTCGCAGACGCGTTTTCCCATGGTTTGGGAAATTTGTTAACACGGCTTAATATTGAAAGACTCGGGAAATTTTTCAAAAAACGTAGGTCGGTATTACAGCACGTTTATTCTTCACTTGAATGAAAATTTATGTTAATATGATTTTGAATTTCATTTCAAAATATCTATAATAAACCATAATCTATTTTATTTAATATATTATATTAATCAATTTTTTTTTACCTTACTATGGTGGATCTCAGCTTATTCTATTAACCTCGGCTTAATTAATATGGGTTAAAAGCTTATTTAACAAGGAAATTATTCTAAAAGTTGAGGAACTATAGTTGATGATTGATAAAATGATGTATAATCAATGATTTTATGATTAAGTATAGCCATTTAAAAGTCCATTTAGTTGCCTTTAAAAACGACAAAATCTACTTTCTTTAAAATTAATATACATTTTTAATGTATATGAACCAGAAATATTCATTTAACAGGATCAGCGATAGAAATCCAATATTCATATGTTAGACTATTCAAAACAAATTAAACTGATACTGATGAAAACTTCAACAAAAGTTTAATTATGCTCTCAACAATGTCTTCTGATTCCTGTAAAGAGTTATGCAAATGAGGAGTTGTTTTTTTTCAGTATTTCAGTGACATAATCTTTTCTGCTAACTCATTCCTCATGCCGTGTCTGGACAAACATCAGACTCATGTTTCTATTTGCCAAGCTCCTCGAGAATTGGCAGAACTAGTTTTCGCGAGTGCCTAACCTTTCCAAAGAGGTCGCGGCGACCTGGTCCGAAAAGCAAATTGCACTGTTTTTGTGGCCTGGAGCCAGGCCCTTCGACTCCTTCATGTGAAACAGCGCAATTTAGTGAGGCAAACCAGGTCGGCGCTTCTAGCCATTGCAGGCACTATGCCTAAACAACTCCTCTTTATCTATTTACATGTTGCACAATCCCATCATTAGGTAATTACCTCGAGTTGCTGAAATTACTTTAGTAATACTAGACTTTAAAATAATTTTGCAGTTATTTCTAAAATATTATTTTATTGTATCCATTTATCTATATACTACTCAATCACTACTGCTTTCCAAGCAGTTACTCACCTTGGCAAGCAATGCTGAAAGATTCATTTCGATTATAAATTCAAGAGTTTAAGAAGAACTTGAGAACCAACACAATCATAGATATCATGGTCACAACCTATAAAATGATAGTTACCTAATCATATAACTATTCAACTTTATTATTGTAATTTGGAGAAATTTTATTATTTTAAGCTTGTTGCTCATACCGCTGATTAATGTGAAAAAGTAATTAATTAAAGTAAATAAATTAAAAACAATTTCAGACAGTAATAAGATTACATATATGTTTACTATCCCTGAGAAAAAAAGACAAAAACATTCCTTAATACTATTTATAACAATACAATTCCTGGACTCGACTAGGTCATGCAATAAAAACCTCCAATAAAAATTGTCCATGTTCTCAGCTTTATATACCATTTTTATTCCCTCATTTTTCTATATAATGCTTAAACGTAAATTCTTTTAAAATTTAATTCAACGTAAATATTAACAGTCTAAAATAATTTATCATCAAACTTGTTGAAACGTTGTAGAATTCTTGTTAAAAAGTCATTTCATTTGAGGCCTTAAAATGAGTATTAAATAATTTGTTAATTTAGTTTCTAAGAATATAAATAGGGTTTTCTGAAAATAACTGGAATTATTTAAAGAACCGGCAGATGACTTAAAAAATCAAAAAAAAAATCAGTTAGACCATGGTTCTGCGGTAAAAACTACGAATTTAAATTTTGTGGTTCTGTGAGCGTCACATTTTTTTTTTGTTTAATATACAGCTAATCTACAATTTTAATTTATATAAAATAATTAACCGTTTTCTGTATAGTAAACTAGATAAAAATTTATTTAAAAAACAAATAGAATTTGTCTTTTTGTCTTTCAACAGAGTGTAATATAAAGGTGTTGCCAATGACCCTACAGGGTAGAGGTAACAAAACAATTAATAAATAAATAAAATTTGTCTTTTCAAAAACTACTTATAGTTTTTTTATGTGGATAAATTATATAATGTCCTCTTTTTCTAAAATCGTATATTCGACATTTTTTGTATGTCTCCTACTGGGACAACGATTCTTTACTTCTAATGCTAGAAGCGCTATCTCCATAAAACACTAATTTTTCAGCCAAAATAATTAAAGACCTCAACTTATTTATTATGGACCTCAAGTATATTAAATAAGGATTTTTTTCTAATAGGGATTTTGTAGACTTGATGACTTAATGTTATATGGCGATTTGATAGCTCTTTCAAAATGATAAATCATATACCTATTTGAAAAAACATTTGTGTAGTTTGCTATTTATCTAAAATGTGTAAAAAACGTCTACAGAAACACAAAACTTAAATTTTCTGTGTTTTTTAAATGAACTTTTGCATTGCTCTTGAGGCCACTAAGAAACATTTGAGGACATCCTGTTAGGAGCCTAATATTGTTTTTAATGCGAAATAAATTTGAGAACAAAAATTGAACAAAAAGTTTTCAAGGCTTCTAGGAGAATTATTTTTTATATTCTACTGCTCATGCAATTAATTTTCTTTTCTTTACGAATGAACTCAAATATGTTATTCCTTTTGACCAACGGTTACTGAGTAATTGAACAAAATAAAAAAAGTTCGAATGGCTGAAAAAATTCTTTCGAAGGAAATGTTTTGGAAAACTGAGTATTATTATAGGGGGTATGTAGTTTGGAGGTTTTGGAATAAGTATTACGATATAATATCATGTCTTGTAACTACTTGTAGCACAATTATATGGAAGTCATAAGTATAGTTTACATTTTTATAAAAGTTGTAAACAGTAAATAATGACAGTATAATGATGAAACCGGCGACTGTTGCTGAGTCCAAACACCTGTTCTAGAAGCCAGACATGCTGGCTGACAGAAGATTATACTTTGGAATGTTTAATGGCCAGCCGTGACTAGAATACCCCTAGAGCTCTGAGAATGGGCGGCCACATCTCATCAACATTTATCGGATATTCACCGTTAGATCTTGTTCAATAGTTCGGTGTAGTGTTTTCCTATGGACTTGGACTTCATATATGAATGTACCATGTCCCTATTAGAAGCAAAATTACATTGTAAAACAAATTTCTTAGTTCTACAAATTAATAACAAAATTAACATTGCTCACATGTTGTCATAAAACTCATACACATCGATTCAACAGTATAACCAATATGTAGTGACCGAATCGCGTTTCGTAATCCGCTTATCAAAATAAAAACCTATTTATAAAAAAAAATAATAATAAAAAAAAAAAAAATAGTCGATGAACCATAATACTTAAAAATTATGCTGCCCTTTATAACTCAAAAAAGTTTTTAGACTTAGACAAGAACTTCATATTCGATTGTACTCATTGAGGGTTGACTTTAAAAAGGTTAGGAAACTTTAATTAGAAAGGTTTAATCGCCTTCATTGCCTACCCTCGTCGTAGTACAAAAACTGGGTTTAAACTCAGGAACATTCCACTAGATGATAAAAGGCCTTAGTCCCAATAATTTATAATTTCGAGAAAATCGTTAAATAAAATATAAAGTTGCAAAGATTATTTATAGTATGAATGGACTAAAGCTCTTTTTTGAAGTTATATTCTAGAGTGTGAATGAGGTACTTTATCACTATTACTAGTGTTTTTGGATGTGACAGAATGTAAAATTTTTCAATAAAGGACTTTCTTTTTTTTTATCTTTATTTATTAAGGTTTACCTTAAAAAAAAGTTTCTCAGTTCAGTTTTAACTAATGTCAGGATAAAAAATATAATTATGACCTGCATCACAAACTGTCCTCGTCAACATATATTAAAATTGTGAAGTTACATGAAGTAAAGGAAATAGTAAAGAGAATTGAATGCCAACAATCAACGATAGCCATAGTTTTCAGAGAGAAAAAAAAGACACCATGGAGCAAAAGAAAGAAACTGCAACAAAGAAACAAACTACTGATTTTTAATACTATCCTGAAAAAAATCTGGACATATGGTCTCAAACTTCCGTATACGTCTAAGTTTATGAAAATTAAAAAGCACTCAATTTTTATAGTTAGAAGTGCTTCAATGCTCCGTTTTATTTATCCAAAAATATTCAAAGTTACTACATTGATTTGCTTTTTATTTCAGTTCAGTATCGTCCAAATCCTTTTGTACAATCACTAACAAAGTCCTCCCTTCTCTTACTATAGGTTAAAACGGCAATGATCCCGATACCTTTTGTAAATATGTATATTGAAATTGCAGATATTGGCTTTTAATACCTGTGACATGGTTGAGATACAAACACTGTGATGGTAATATTTTCCACTGGTAGGGAAAAAATCTTGGAATTTTTAACTGAGTATAAACATGATGAATAAGTAAGATTATGCCTTTTTTAAAGATGTTTGTTTTACTTTGACGTGAAGTTAATACAGAAGAAGTAACGTAATTAATTGTATTAAAAAATAGAATTTATAAAATATTATAACAATTCCATCATATCAGGTAATATATCCGTATTGCGCAATGCAATAATACACGTATAAATATATTTAAAAAATAGTGTATAAATGCATTTTTAAAAAAATGCAAATACAAGTCCATTGTTTCTCAGGCATCCTCCTTCGACAAATCGCACTCTTTAACCTTCCGCCATGACCACGGCATTAGCTGCAACTGAAGAAGTGGAACGTATCGAATCAAAAATCGGCATAACTATTCCAAATTACGTATCAGGTAATCTGTAAAAACATCTAGGAAAATTAGAAGAACGACATAACTCAGAAGAAGACATTAGGGCACAAGGTTAGGGTAAAAAAGTCAGCTTGATGTAATATTTTCTTTTTAACAAGGTCGAAAAGGAAACGGAAAATACGAATGATTCGTTATGACGTTCGTGGATCTCGCTAATTATTACGTAATTTTATTTTTTAACAAGTTAAGTAACATAAAATGAAACAATTGTTTATGGTATGTAAAAATACAAATAGATATGGTCTGGAATTAGTTTTTAAAAAATTATGTTTTAAATTAGTTTTTAAAATATCCAGCTGTAAAAACAACTATCGTACCAACAATATTTTATACTTTGTAATTTTTTGTTCACTAGTCGAGTCTTAATTTAAAATTGCAAAATTATAATAAAAAGATAATATTTCAAATATTTCTCAATTTCAATTCAAATATATAACAGAATGTTCTATGTTATAATATTATTCGTTTTTATGGAATTTCATTATTTATCAATTCAAAAATTTAACGAGAATTTTTAAATATTTAATTAGAATATAACGAGTTTATTATTAACTGTTAGTATTTTTATTTACATCATGCATCTTGAATTAAACTGCATTTGTTATTTGCATGTTTTTTTTTTTTTTTTTGATTGGTGAATAATCGCCATCGATCATGCCTAGCTTTTTATCTTTGTTTCACTACTTATTAAATTAATGATTTTTACTTTTTAATATTTTGAAAGGTTTTTGCAAAATAATTTCTTACGTGCAAAATAGCAAGCTTGTGTACGTGTTTGTTTTCATCGGTTCACAACTCATTCCATTTAATTTTTATATCATTTTCATGAGATCTTGTTATTACTGCAATGTCAATGCATTTCTCGTTGTTAGAGGCGGAAATCCAACTTATGCCTCACAGACCCTTCAACAATATTTAACCAAATTAAATGACTGATTTAAACTCTGAAAATTCGATTAAATCAAGGCAAATAACAGCACAACACTTTTAATCATTTACCGAACATATCCACATTTTACGAAAAAAAAAAAAAAGACTAAATCAAAGACTAATGCTTCTAAATTCACTTCTTTGTAAACACTCAAAACTAAAACTTTGATAAAGATTGGATAGGTATATTTATTTATTAAATCCTATTTGTGCTTAGGCACCACAAATATTTTGGAACAGCGAGAAATACTCATACTAACAAACTTCAAATCTTTCGAGTTAAAACATTTAGGACAGTCACAAAAGCACCTAGGTACGTTAGCAACATAACTTAACACACTGACCTTCACATGCCGGCTGTTAACGAACATATTACAAATGATTCCATAAAAAATTGTAATCACACCCTAGCATACTCATAAATGACAGGGCCATAACATACATGCCTGGGGAAACGTCGGTAGAAGGTTGAAGAGGTGCTGGATGAAAGATCTCGTCTAACAATTAATATAAATATCACGCCAGGAGGGAGTGTCCCTGGGTACTGCTCTGTCATGGTTATCACGCCATTTCAACAAATTCACTTATTTCTTTGACAGCTGTGAATAAAGACATTAAGTTTTTAAAAAAAAATCGTGTTCTTGAATTAATATCCGTAATTTCACAACACTGTGAAATTATTTTGTGATATAACCTGATATTTTTCTAAATAAAATAAAAAAGATCGAATTTAAATAAATACAAGTTTAAAACATGAACCTTGTTTTAGTGAAATTTTATTGCCGTTTTGATCCTGTTCCTTGAAAAAGTCTGCAAAAAATATAACCGAACCACATTTTATCGGATACCATTTTAAAAGTTATTTTTTATTTAAGAGAGTTTTTAACTTTAAACAAACGGGATATTACTTTTATTTAATTACATTCGTGCAGTTATTGTTCACTGTACTCTGTCTCCCATCTGTTTTTGACTGAAACGAATTATAATAAATATACACACATTATATTTATATATTTTTCCAATTAATTCAAACCATCTTTGTGATGCGCCTCCCTTATTAGTTTTGTGATGAATCCACCGAATTATGAATAAGCTATCGACTTTATACTTATTGACACTCAGTGCCAGAAATAGTAATTATTCTAAATATCAACATATTAATTAAATCGAAGTGAACACAGAACTCCTTGACCAGTTCTTCTAAATTATTTTAATACATGAAGTATTGAACTAAAACGCTATTTAAATTTATTTATATCACAGCTATTCCCCTACATGACCTTTATTCATTAATGTTGAAGTCTATTACAAGGTAGTGTAAAGTTTAAAATAGTTGACGATTTTCCTTGGATTTTGAAATCAAATCTGTTCACACGATATGAAAAAATTCCATTGTTATTTTGCAGCCTTTATACATAATAATAGACATTATTAGTCATGTTTCTTTGGATTTGATAAGAATGCAAGGTAGCACTGCAGCATAATGCTTTTCCTCATCCAAAGGAAATTCCAAATGTCATGTGAGTTCTTTCTTCTAGGAACAGAATCTTCAGCATTTGCAATATCTCTATGCAATGACCTTAGCCCAAGTTGTAGGTAATGTTCTCCTCCAAGACGTCACGAATTCGCAAGTAGGTCAAGAGAAATTTTTTTTTTAACGGTTTTAGAATCAATCCATCATACGGAGTTCAAAATAACTGTCGGAGTTACCTATTTGCTTTCTTCTGATTATTATAACACAAATCGGTTTATTGCGGAATTCATACTTTTTAAAGTTAAGCTCAATGTTTTCATGCAACAATTAAAGACCTTACAGAATTTAAATTTTAATTCACTCGACAGGACCCGTTTTAGTTTTGGTTAAATTGGTCATAATGACATACATGCATCACTAAGAGAAAATCATATATATTATTTCTAAAATGTGTTTTTTTATATCGGTACGCCATAACTTCGTCAATTTTTTATGAAATCCAATGATTGACCACTCATTTTGAAGATATTCTTCTCCTTCACATGCGAAAAATATTTCTATTCCGCCGAAAAGGAAGTTTTATGAAGGAAAAGAAAGTTTATTTGCGAATAACTCAAAGAGTATTCATTCAAAGAGCATTTTTTTTCTTGATTGTGCCCATTATCTACAAAACAAAAATAAATTGTAAAAATCGGACAATTATTACCAAAGAAACAGTCCATTAGTTTTGGTGTACTTAATAATCTCTTCTTCTTTAAAGAGACTGCAGTTAGGAGTAGAATAGTATACTACATTTTTTTCCTGGCTGATATATTACCTTTGCTATTTCATAAAGGCATTTGTTTATTCTTACATTTTATTTTAAATCAAATGATCAGGGCATTATTTTTTCTTTATTACTTTTATTATCTTTCCAGTCAGCGTTTGAAAATAGATCCTAGCAAAGCAATTTGTACAAATATTATGGTCTATTACTTTAAATGGAATATTGTAATCGACAAAGTTAAAAATATTAATTCCTTCCTTACATAATACATAAGATCTACACTTCCATTTTGTTTTGCTATTTCTTCACTAAACAAAACTTTCTGCTAATTATTCGCACTGGCCAACTACTGTTAATATAATTCTAAACTTACTACATTTTTATGTTAAACGATGCATGCTGAAAACAAGAGCATGACCAGAAGCGAGAAAGATAAATTCATTTAAAGGCTATATGCTTAATAATTAGTTTCTACCTACATGTTGAAATAATAACAACCAATCAATTCTTCAGAAATTTGTTATTATATTTGTAACTATTTCGTTTAAAATCATTTTAATTTTCACAGAGAGACAGGTTTCTCCCTCCTTTCCCTATCCGTTTATTTTTTTTTACACACGCACTTAGTCATGAAAATATTACATAATCCAAGGTTGTTGAATGAAACTTCATTAGGATGATTATTTTATGGCTTAATATAGAAAATTGTTGTTTAGTTATTATACATTTTATTCTTTTAAAAACATGATATTTTTATATTCAAAGTTCCTTATTTATCTTTTAAAAAAAATAACAAATAATAATTAACACCAGAAGTCACAGATTTTACACCCAAATTCAAAGACGTCACATGTTTTATTTCCAATTGAAATAAATAAATATATACATCTCCAGGTGTACATAGGGATTACTTTAATCCTCAAGGTTAGAAAAACCAGTTATATTCAGAATGACGTCACTAACGGTTGAACAAAGAAAGGTCCCTTGTGATTTTAGATTCTGGATTTTAAATTACAGTTAAGTAATAAAAAGAACAGAAATTCATTTTAAAACTTTTAATTAAAAAATACTATTTCCGTTTGCATATGTGATTAATTTCTGTCTTTAATGACCTTTAACTAATAACTTTTTTTTAAGGAATTGTAAATAGTGCAATCTGCCTCAATGAAAGTAAGTAAGTGCTAAGGCTAAATCTGTTTATTCATTCCAAATAAAATATAAAAGGGAAATAAATGAGAATAAATAAAAAGATAAATAAAGTAAAAATAATAAGAAGAAAAATATATAAAAAACAGAATAACATACATAAGTGAAATAAAAAATTAACCAGTAAGTAAAAATAAAGTAAATATTTTTAAACACATTTATTCCAATGCAGAATATTAATTTATTAGTAGAAAAAATATATTAAAAGTAGTCATAAGATATTACTGCTTGTTTTCTTTTAAGTTTAATTAGTATTAATTAGTATTTTCACTAACATTTATTAAAACCATGGTAGGAAGGACGTACCGTTCTAAAGATCAGCTAGTGATTTTTGCCATGTTTTTTCAGTAAGATTCATTTCGTGAGCATACCATGAGATAAAAGTAAAGATATTATTACAAAATTATAATTAATTTTTTACAATTAATTTATGTGTTTACAATATTAATATTTATTTATTATCGATTATTCTTATAATTGAACACTTCGGTAACATTATTTGTTATCATTTGTTTTATATATATATATATATATATATATATATATATATATATATATATATATATATGTAGGGATAAAAATCATGACACTTGAATACGTTGTTAATATTTGTAATTCGTTTGAAAAAATAAAAATAATTATGGATGAGTTCAAATTTCAAATCTTCAAAGTAAAAAGTGTTGATTTCATCATGTAGTAATTATGTTTTTAAAATGTATGTGACCTGTTATATGTAACTCAAATCTCGGTAATTCGTTATGCGGAATGGTATTTCTGACGCCCTGTTTACTCATGGTTTACCCTCTCTCTTTTTCTATCCTCTCCTGGGAGACCTTTTACTCGAAGACGAATTTGAGTAAATTTTTGTTGCAAATCAATAAATTTTTGTAATAATAAAAATATTTATTCAATGAATGAATTTTTTTTGGACAGCAATATATACCTGCACTCTATCGGAGGCTCATGTTAAATCGGACATGCAATAATGCGATAAAAGGTTGTTCAATTTTCAGGTTCAATTTTGAAAAAGTTGGAAAAAAAATTTTGTATCGATTAAGTAGGAAAAGTTACTTTGAAGAGCTAATTTTATTTTTACCTTTGTTGGAATTGAATAAAATTGTGTCTTCTGTTCCTTACTCGCAATAAATTGAATTTGATGTCTCGCCCCTCATATAGTCGTTGAATCAGGTCTCAAACTTGTTTTAATATTTATGAATGACATTGTACAAGGTGGTGAGAACCATCATGGTTGTGCGTGGTAATGGATGAATCAGATTGTCAATAATAGTTGTGGGTACATGTTAAGTAGAAAGTGATAAGAGATCCATCTTCTACTCAGGAAGCCATAAACAATGGAATTAATGATCAGTTTACATTTTTTTTTTTTTTTGTTAAAAGTAAAACAACAAAAACAAGGAAAAAATATATATATTTTTTATGCTTAATATAATCTTAGACATTTGATCCAGCAATACGACGTCCCTACCATTTCAAGGTCGAGGATATCCGAGGAGTTTCGAAACCAATTCCAACTTTTCCGTCTTTTTATATTTTTTCCTGAGACACTAATTTGTCTAATATTTTTTTTCGGGACGGCTTTAAGTTATGATGCTCGTTTTTTTTTTTTAATTCACTCGGAAATTTCATAAATTATACAAAAAGTCACTTAGATGTTTCGTTGAAATGATATTTTTGTAAAAGTAATATTAAACCTTCTAATTCATATAATATAGTGAGTATAAGGATGAAAACTAACAGACATTGTTTACACCACCGTAGTTGTGTTCGCGTGAATAACAATACTTAGGAACACTTAAGTAATGAATTTTAATAAGAAGACGATTATAAATAAACAGATAATAGCATAAAAATTATGAGAAAAAAAACGAGTGTAAGATTAAGTTTGACGAGGATTAGGAAAATTTAAATCTTTTTATATTAGGAAGAGTTATTTAAACCTTCATGGACGATTTTTCTTTACAGTGTAACACAAAACAATACAGATGTAGTGTTACAATTGAAATAAAAACTGTATTTTAAGTAAGTTTTTAGAAAATGACGAAACAATTTAGTATATTTTCGATTATGTAGAGTAGAATTATGAAGTTATAATAAAAAAGTTATGATCACACATGGGTTACGAAGCCGTAATGTTCAGGATGGATTATAAATAATAATATTAAAAAATTAACAAAACAAAAAAGTTAATTCATTAAGAAAGAAAATTAAAGGGTACAATTTCCTGATTCAGAAAAATCAACCAAAAAATGACGAAACTAAAAAAGTATACGTATATAATTTACGTTTAATGGTTGCTGAAAAAAAAGTTATAATATCATATATTGCATCATAGAATATTTGATACGAAGATTAAAGAGCATGATCGTTTTCGTAAAAACGTTACCTTGAATAACAGGAAACGTTCCAATCGATGTTTTTATTATCGCGTTAGATCAAGGTCATCTTAAGATCACGCCTAAACATCCGAACAAGACCGCAATTTGTCAGTCGCTGGGATCAATTAGTCAACCGTCCTTCCAGCGGACAAGGCAAAGCTCTGCTGAAAGGACCCACCGCAGCGGCTGCAAGACAGGATCGAGGTACAGCCTTTCAGGTACCGAAGGGTCCTTGCTCAAAACTCCTTAGAAATGGCCACTCATAGAGTGGAGTGCCGTTTGGCCCAGTTAGGCCCGGGCAAGGCCCCTCCACAAAGGTGAGTGAACCATTGTTGTGCGGTGTCATTGACATTTGTTGTCGCTCATGATGTTTCCTGAATGCTTCCCTCTGGCAACACATGTAATAAGTATAACTAATCATAGAGACTACGATTTAGGCGACTGCTAGTACCCGTAACCGAGTATCACTACTTAATAACGTCCATGCAGCATTTCTGTATTGATCACCATCACCGTTCGCCTAAAAAGCTCTAGTAAAAACTTTTAAAGGTTCGTAACACAACTGGTTCAAGATGCAATTGAATCGTTTGTAAGACCTTTTTGAAAAACCGAAATCCTTTATAAAAATAATGTTTGAATTAATATCTTAAAGATCTTTGTATCCTTTAAACATTAGAACAACAGTAGAAGTACGTAAAATTTATTAGATTCAAGATACCAATAAATTGTTCTATGTAATGATCCCTCTTTGGCGTTCCCATTTCTCCAGTTGGTATGCCGAGATGGAGTGGCTCTATCCAGTTTTCCGATTTTCCGACTACAATATTTCCTAGGTCTATTTCATTTCCAAATCTTTGTAATCAAAAAACCTTCTTACTTTCTTGATTTGTTTACTCATTGTTCTTATGTTCATTCTCTAAACACGAGATCCCAGCCTACAAACCTGTATATTTCTTTCCATAGCACATGTTCTTTTAAGAAATCTTTTTTAGCTACTTTTTACACTAACTTTGAAATACTTAAACCATTTAAAAACCAATTATTTTTTCATCTCCTCAGCAATCAATCTTTCGAATGCATGTAAGAAATAAAGCTTCGTATTAAAGTATCGTCAGGATTATTTAGTTTTATTTTACAGTTATCTATGTATTATATATATTTTTTATAAGTGCAAATATGTAAACATAATGATATTTATGTTTTAAGGTTACATAACTCAGTAATTTAACTATTTCATGTTATTTTATGCCAAACAAACGACACAAGTACGTTATTGCTCATTGTCATTATTTGGAATTATATGTACCCGAAAAAATTACTTTTCTTCTTCATTTTCCAAAATTTCATTTAAAGCAAGAAAAGAAATAACTACCTATTTTTTTCTTTCGAAGCCAAACGTATATGAAATCTCTTACTTCCCAAAACGAGATATTTTCTCGTTTCTTATTTGTTCCTCATTTCTTATTTTCTCACCTTTATTAGATATTTCTACATTTTATATGTTTTTAGATTAGTGAGCTTTAAATTATACTTGTTTTCCCCTCTCTTCTACAAATACTGATATATGTTTTTGAATTATAAAACATGTGTAGATATTTCGATTATTCATTGTATCAACTCCTCTGACAAATAGATTGTTAATCATTGAAAGTATAGTCAGAAGGTTCAATACCGATGTCAACAACAATGGCTGCCCACATATCTCCCTCGACAAATCCTGTCAAAAATCCATAACACCAAGGTCAGCCTTGAAACAATATTTCCACCTACTCTTCGGTCTCTCCCCTCCCCACCATAAGCTAATTTTCTTTTTAGCGATTTGTTCATTATTGAGCTCAATTCTACATGCGCATTCCTATTATTTTAATTACATTCAACAAGTTTTGGTCACGCATTTTTGCATGCCTGCATTCATTATTATGAGTTTAATTTAGTATAACCATTTTCTTGCTCTCAGAAGCAATCGATTTTGATGAATGAGGTATCAAACGAAAAGGAATTTCATAGAGAAGTGACGAATCTCAATTTAAAAAAAATAATGCCTTACTAAAACTACAATAAAAGTCTTTAAAAAAATGGAAGTTTCGAAACTCGACGGATCGGAATGAGATAAATTATGTATGTTTCGAAGATTTTTCACGGATGTCAAACCCAAAAATGTATTATATATAAGATAAATAGTAGTTTTTGCCGAAGACTATGTTTGCTATGTTTGCCATAGCATACTTATCGCATATTTAGGTCTCAAATATTAAAATATTGATATTTATGATTGCCTTCGACGAATTTAATATTAATTGAAAATGTATATGAAGGAGAATATCTCTATGACCCTTGAGCATATCGGATAATATAGAAAGAAACTTTATAATACATATAAAGAATATCAAGGATGATAAATATTCAGGACGCAGTCTTTTTTTTTTATTTTAAATTTTTTATTTTTGCCAACGTTTCAACCCAAACATGTGGGTCATCTTCAGGGAGTGGTTTGAGCACTGAGGGTGTTCAAGTGCTCTTCAAACTGTTCAAGTACTGAAGTACGAGTACTTGAACATCCTCAGTACTCAAACCACACCCTTTGAGGTTGTGGGGGCTAAGTTGTTGAGGGAGACGGGGCTTTACGTTCTGACGGAGAGCGATCTTCCTCAACTTATGACAAAGGGAAAATATCCGTACTACAAGGCTTCGTATACGAGTGGAAGGAACTTGTTGGTTCAACCCACTTTTCATTGGGAAGGAGAGATGAATCTGCATTCGGAAGGCCGCCAGAGAGGGTGGAAGAGGAAGCTGGCTAAAAAGAAGACAGAGGCTGTGTGCACAGCTGAAAAATAAAAAAAAGAAAAGAAATGTAATTGGTCTGAATGTAGCAGTGAGTTGTAACGCATGCGTTGCTACGCACTGCTGCATAACACTCGTATTGCCTTACCGGTAGGGTAGAGTCTAAATAAAAAATAAATAAAAAATTAAAAAAAACACACCCTGAAGATGACTCACATGTTTGAGCTGAAACGTTGGCACAAATAAAAAAATTAATTTTTTTTTTAAAAAGACTGTGTCATGAATATTATCACCTATTTTCATCCATGACATATTATCACCCATGATATGTAGAACAGTTGACCAGCTTCCTTCAATAATTCATAAAGAATATCAATGTATGAAATATTTACTCTCACTAATAGACTTCTATAGTTTTAGTTAGTGAGAGACATACATACCTTGGTTCTTCTGCACCAAGCAAATATGTCTTGAGCTAGTACAATAACATATTTTTGTAAGTTCAGAAATAGCTGTGTCTAACTGATTAACTATTAAACTAGAAGGATATTTTTCAGAGGGACAAGCTAATCAATGATTGTATGAATCGTTACTTCGATAGTAACAGTATAGTATGAAGGTCCACCGATTGCGTATGTTGAATAGATTATCCTAATAATATTATATTGTACATAGGAATAAACATGTTTCGCTTAGGTTTTAGTCTTAAAAGTAATCATATGCGGAAACCAGATGTACGAGATGATGTCCTAGTAAGGCCCATAAATCATGTTATAAAATAGGGCCATCTGGTTATCGACGGGGTTAGGTAACTCGATCTAGCCCCAGATCCCAAGGATCCACGGATTATGGCACTGACCCAGATGAAGCGGGGAGCCAGCAGAGTATTGTATTGTAATTAGTAATTACCGCTAACTACACGGCTGCCTTTGCAGTGCATTGTAGCTCGGCTGTCGCAAGGCGTGTCACCCACGATTTCACCTCTAGCTTCAGGTGAAGGCGCCCAGTGGCCCTCTATCTTTCACTTTCGAATTAGCCGTTAGTTTATTGCCTTTAATGACTGCGTTTTAAAAATCCAACATTATAAACTCGAGGGCGTAAATAACTCACGTTTTTGTGGAGAGTGAATTAGATTGAACCGTCAGATTTCCGATGTATAACACTAGGGTAAAGTCGGCTGGAATCGACTATTTGCATGTCGATTAAAATATCTCAGAAACTAAAAATCGGACCTGCATATTGTAAGCGAGGGAAATACTCATCATTCCATTCTCTTTGTAATGGGCCATTATTCAAAATTTTATCTTAAAGCGACTCCGTGTTATAGAGGCGATAAAGAATAAAATAAGGTCAAAAACCAAATAATAACGAGTTTTATGGCAGATATGAATTAAAATATCTCTGAAACTAAAAATCGGACTTGCATACTGTAGACGAGGGATATGTTCAGTATTTTGATCATCTTTATAATGAGCTATTATTTATAATTTATTTTTCATGTTATTAATCTCACCTTGCTGATGTTTTTATTTCTATCGTGTGGTCTAAAGCACACACCTTAATTGTTTTTTTTTTTAATGTATCCACAAACAAACGACTTTACTACAATGCAAGATCATGTGCTGTTTTCCACTAAATCATACCACCATTTCTTTTCTTCTTAGCAATATTTCTCTCCTTTATGGAGTCCTTGCTGGAATATATAGGAGGCTGTGGTCATGTATTTTTTCCATCCATCTATTTTTTCCATTCGGCTTCTTAAATATCCTGTTAGGCTATAGGCTATAGGCTAGTCCGACATTCTCAAGACTGTCCAAAATAATTTAACTTTTTTTCTCAGTTTAGTATAAAATATTAAGGAATTCTTTTACTATTTGCTTATGGTATTATTTGAAACGTGTTGTAGTGTAGATGTCCTACAACCATATAGAAATACTGGAACATATACTTTTCATAAAGCTAATTAGTACGTGAGGAGCTTCTATAAAAACTTTTCGTATTTAATTTCTATTCAACATTTTTTGCAAGTCTATTTTGTTGGGTTTTGAGGGTCGAGTGTTGGATTCGACTCTACCTCTATACATCTGTTGCAACCGATTCGGTCGGCATCGTATCTTTGAAGAGACTTTTTGATTTAATTTAGTAACTATACCTAATGAAAAAAAAATCGTAAAAATGTGTTTAGTCCATGATACAAAGTGTTACTTCCGGTTATCCGATTTTGACGAAAAAGTTGCTGTATTATCCCTACTATATAAAAACCTTACATATGCCATTTCGCTTTCGTACGACTTTTCGTTTTTGAACTAGACTGTTAACACACACACAGACACAGACACACACACATCCTAATCATTGACAAATCCATAGGAGGAGAGGTGGGAGGGAAGGGAGATTAGGACTGAGACCTTCCAAAACAGAAAAATATTTGTTTCTATGATCTAAGCTTAATACTTAAACAATCAAAAC